TTCTAGTTCTACTTCTAGTAGTTCTAGTTCTACTTCTAGTAGTTCTAGTTCTACTTCTAGTAGTTCTAGTTCTACTTCTAGTAGTTCTAGTTCTAGTTCTAGTTCTAGTTCTAGTTCTAGTTCTAGTTCTAGTTCTAGTTCTAGTTCTAGTTCTAGTTCTAGTTCTAGTTCTAGTTCCAGTTCCAGTTCTAGTTCTAGTTCTAGTTCTAGTTCTAGTTCTAGTTCTAGTTCTAGTTCCAGCCAGTTCTATTTCTATTTCTATTTCTATTTCAATTACTATCACTACTATTACTAGTAGTAATAGTCAAATCAATATTTGATTTCACAATTGCTGCATTTGCAATGAAAATTCTGCACTGCATTGGCACTTGCCTAGATATTATACTGGTCATAACAAGAAATAGTGTTTGGACCAGGAAGCACCAAAGTCTACTAGGATCTAGTACTAGCTAGTACGAGTTGGTAGTATCTTAGTACTACTCTGTAGTAAATTGAAATTCTGGTGGTACCAGCATCACCATTTACTACACTAAATTAAGCAACCCTAATTGTATTAAATCTTGATGGTTGTTCTGTTACTAACATAAATAGCAGGAGTTCATTTCATTGCCTTTCTTTGATCATTTTGGGTTATTTCTGGTGCATACTACTAGACAGTTGACAAAAAGCTTTTTGCACATTATTTGTACAGATTATGTTTCACCTGGTGGTTGGATTATGCTTGTTTTGAGAAAATCTGATGTCTTGAATCCATCAAATTGTTAATACTACGGATATCATAACAATTGATTGCGGCACTAAGAAAGTGGGGATTCCCATCATTAATTTAGTGATGACATCCTTAATTTTTTCAGTACAAATTCTACAGGGCTCTACTGAGTGTTGCTCCCCAAAATTTTCAGCATGATTTGCCTTCTGAGAAAGAAGCAGGATTGGTTCTCCACCACCAGAAGAGTTGCAAACTACCTCAGTACATTTTGTACTGTGTTCTACCGGGCTAAGGATGGCATCATTGAATTACTAAAGATGGGAACCACTTTCTTAGTGCCGCGATCAAAATTGTTATGATATACATAGTAATAGAAAGAGCAACAAGTTACTTGAAAGGTAATAGCCCTACTTTTTTTTGTGATAGGATTCTAGTGGCATGGCAAAAAGTATTTTTGAAACTGTGTCACAGTATCTAGAACTCTTTTGGGATATACAATGCGCAGCCAGCATATTGAAAAACAATTATGAAGAGACCTCAGCTTTGAAATGAAATAATGATTCAAATCCATCTTGTCACCACACGCATATCTATTGCATTCCAATTTCAAAACTCGAAACTGTCTTTTTCTGTCATGTCGAAATGGTTAGGTCTCTTTGCGTATGTTCTTGCCCCCCCTTTGCGTCTTTTGCTTCTACCGATGGAGGTTTTACTCTTTGGCTTCCGTGTACGCTTGGTTTTGAGCGCAATGTCACTGCGAGGTCGTATAGTCTTATTGTAAACCACTGGTTTTGGATCTTCGAGTGGGGACAGGTAAACATTGCTGTACGCAACGATTTCGGATGGTACGTGATTTTTACTTGCATTTCGATGAGTTTCAGGTCGTCTGATTTTCATTGGCGAAACATGAGGAGATTTTTGTCCATGGGATATCGAACGAGGAACATCCTGCTTAGCGATCGATCTCCTACGAGCTCTCACAGCTAGTTTCTTCTGTCCTTTCTGTTTGGATCCGGACGCCTCTCCGATTGGCGTTACGCAAAGAGCCTTGTCCTTTCGAGTAGCGGCTAATGGTATCTCGCTCTCGGATGTCACGATGCGATCTTTCCCATCAGGACATGACAAGTCATTCGCTTCTTCCTTTTTCATAGAATTCTTCGCACCTTTTCCCTTAGGCAATGGAGTACAACTGTTGAGGTTGCTACTGTTAGGGTTTCTTGACTGTCTCGTACGCTTTGATCTCCGCAACGGTCGGAGTTGCGCTTTTTCGCCGTTACTCTTTGGTGAACCTTTCTTGTTGGAGCCCTGAGTGAGACTCACTTCGTTCTCGGCAGGAGAGTGCTGTTGTCCAACGGAATAGTTCTCTTTGGAGGATCTGGAGGATTTCGTGTTCACTTGATCACTGTTGGTGGATTTGATATCTGATCGACAGCATTTCGTTGTTTTGGGAATCTTCCCAAAACCGTCACTAGCTTCTTCCTTGGATTGTGTATTTGTTTCGGAAGCGATGGACATATATGGTTTGAGACTATTCGCGATCTTCTTGCAACTACCCGCAATCCACTTTTCTGTAAACTTCGAAAGCCTGCTAAGACTTCCCTCTGTAAAACGTTCTAGCTTTTGCACACACTTGATACTAGTCTCTTCCAGCTTGTTTTTTTCTGAGTCGACTAGGTCCTCGATCGACTTCTCTATCTCGCTTCTTTTCTGATCTAAATTAGATTGCGCAATTGTCTGGGTCGCTTCAGCTTTTCGGTCAAGCTCGGACGTCGTTGCTTCCCGAAGTGCTTCAGCATTCCGATTGAGTTCCGATTGCGTTGTTTTCTGAAGTGTTTTGATCTTCTCCACGAACTTGGACTCGGCACAAGACGTGGCGGTGCGGAGAATTTCATTGAAATTGGTTTTCGATTTCGATTCCATTTCACGTAGTAATGATTGAAGATGCTCTTTGAAATCTGCCATGCCCTGCTTCTTTTGAGTTTCTAGAATACTGGGTTCAATCAAATCAAGCTGGTGTTCTTGAGAAGTAACAGCCGTGGTGACAGCGTTTGATCCATTCCCATTACAATTTTGGCTTGTGGAAGATAAAGCGTTCGTATTAGATTTGCCATTTTCGTTCCATACAGCTGGTACTKGTGTCCCATTGAGCGACGAGGTCATCCCGCTTTCTCTTTCCTCTATCAGTTCGCTTTGTGAATGTGTATGCCCTTGAGCTCCATCCTCAGTACCGGTGTCAATTTCAGTACGAATATTGCCGTCCCTGTTCTCTTTCTCCTGTCCTAAAGGATATTTTTCTTGTTTGGACTTATTATCCTCTAGCATATCCCCCATAACTTTGTTCGTCCCCGTCATTGCCGTTTCAGTGTTACTTGGATTTATTTGGTTTTGATGTTGTTGCTGTCGCCGTATCTCATGCTGTTGCTGACGCAGTTGAGAATCGAGTAGAGGATATGGCACATCCAGCTTTTTACGAGGAGTCGCAGCTTTTGCAAAGGTACGGTCCGCAATCGACAACGATGGGTGTCTGCTGCTACTTCTCCTCAAAGAACCTATTAGCACCAACGGGCGAGAATCGTTTGATCTCTCGTATCTGTGATCAAAATTGTCGCTCATATCTCGCAGGGCACAAAGTTTTCCGGCGTTCCGGTGGCGAATCTGCTCTTGTGGTGGTGAGTGGTAGGATGAGTTAGCGCCGCCGATGCCACCCAAATGCGGAAGGGTCCTAGTATCCAAAGGCGTTTGTGCCTGGAATCGATGAGCACTTCGCGAGCTATCTTGTGCACTAGTTCTAGATGGTGATTTCGAGGCACACGCGGATATCGACAAATTCGTACCCCAAGAGCCCTGGCTCATTGCGTGAGCGTCAGTTCCAAATCGATCATCACCTGGGCCAGCAAAGCGCATTTTCTGCGTCCCGTTCTTCCTCCTTTTTTTCTTTGTCGTTAGCAGTGATGGCTTGCGTTTTGGTCTAGACAAGGACGAAGAAGAACTTCTGGAGTTACTGTGCAAGCTGTTGAGTGCTGTTGTTGCATCTTCGTTTCTTGAGCTCGTAAATTCCGAACAAGCGAACCTTTCTCGTGGGTCGTTACAGCCTTGCTGTTGGTGCGAGATCGACGAAGAATGGCTGTGCCCCTGACTATAGCTCTCAATCGAGGGCTGTCCCAGGGGAATACTGTCGACGAAACCAGTTGGGTGAGAATGTGTTCCGTAGGACGAAGACAACGAATCCATCGACAGCTGCGATATTTGCGACATTTCGATGTTTTGATTGTGGGCTGCAACCATTCGATGCACGTGATTGGGCGCAGCATGACTCTCAGAGCGCAAGGATCTCGTGGCAGAAGAAAAGTCCCTCGACCGAGAAAACCACTGCTTTCCTCGAGCTCCTTGTCCTTCGCCATGTCGCAAGAGGCGACCACGTTGGGAGTATTGATTCGCTACAGACATTTTCGGGCTACGCTCTGGGCGAGGAAAACGTTGCAACAACTTCCTGGAGTTTTCGTTTTCGCAACTACTGCTAAGGATGATGATATCGAGAAGAAGCGGAAGAAAAGTGAGAAAATAACAAGAATTTCTTGCTTCGCAACGGATGAATTCAGTATGGATGAGATATCGCACTGTGCTCCATTTCGATTGACATCTCTCTAAAACACGTACAGAGCTACTTTCAGGGCGATTATATGCTTTAGATACGATATTGTTCAATGGATCTACTAAATAATCAATGTCAACTTTTTCAGCATCTGAGCGAGCTTCACAGAGAAAGACTAGACGAAATAATAGCGAGGAAAATGTACAGAAAACTACGAGGATTCATCAAAACAAGAACGAGGGCATCACGTCAAGGCTTTTTGTAGAATCTTTTTCGATCACTCACAGTTGCTCAGTTTGGCGCAAAGATTGAGTTCGTACCGTAGCAAAATATTCTCCATATGTAGGAATAGGATTTGACGTAGTATGACTTGAGCTGCAACGTTCACAACGACTAAACATACACCAGGGACGTTTCGTTCGTGTAAAAATCACGTGCAATAAGCAGTTAGTGTAGTGTTGATATAACAGGTGAATACACTGTAATATACACTAGGAACTTAGCTAAGATGGTAATCATCATGGTATGGGGGCATGATAGGGTGTTTTAAATGTTAAAGAAAGGAATAAGTGTGATCAAGCAAACAGGTTGCTGTCTGCTGCATTTTCGATCGGATTYGGCGATAAGATCGGTACATTCGGCGATTAACCTTAACCCTAATCGTTGAATCGTACGAAGATTACGATTCAATCCAAAGATACGATTCAACCTAAGATTCAACCTTAACCCTAATCGTTGAATCGTACGAAGAT